GTGTGAGAACGGACAGGCCTCTCTACGCATGGAAATGTAAGTGCTGCAGGTTGTGTCTTTGCTGCCTTTATCATCACCCCGAACCCACCTGCTGCAGGGCTTGAGATTGCTGCATCCACAGGGCTAGAAGGGCCGGGCTTTGAAGTCAAGCCTGAACTCAAGCCTGCTCCTAAGTCTCGGCGCTGGAGGGCAAGAGGGCTGGTAGCAACGTGAGCCATCAGGGAGGTTCGGTTTGACTCTCAGCAAACGTCCGGAGCTCAGAGGGGGATGGAGGGCAGGAATACACCCACCGGGCCGCCAGACACTGGCCTGGGGGGTCACAGGAGCTGAGCTCCAGTCCCGGTTCCCCACGGATCAGTGCCTGCCTGGGCTCCTCCGGCTACCTGCATTTCAGCGACAGGTTCTGGGGCAGAATCAGACTTAGAAGGGTGCTAGAAGGCGGCTGAGCTCTATGGCAAGGCTACCCTATTGCCAGCAGAAAGGTGAACCTTTTAATACCGGCTATTTCATGTAGCGGGTTTAAACACCGACATAATAAAAGCTCCCTCTAAAACCACGAGACTTCCATCGTCAACGAGCTGGAGACCCGCCTTCCTTCCTCCAAGCCGAACACAAAGCCCCCTGAATCGATCGTGCCTGCAGTAGCAACTGGTGCACTCTGTGGATGTGAGCTCTCACCCACTCCTTCCCATAAACACCGATATTTATGGTGTCAGCTCAGGTCAGGAGGCTGTGAAATGTCACCAACAACTGCCCGAAAGGACAACAGAGCAGTGACTTCGTCTCGCGGTCTGCTGGGCACACACATGCTGACCACAAGGCGATAAGGTCCTGGAGGGGTCAAGCGAGTCACTGAATGGGCCACAAAAGGCCAGGGATGTGGGGTGAGGGGCAAGCTCACGGGGGCTTCCCTTAAAAAAAACCCCAGTGCCGCACAACGGGGCGGTTGTTTTAGGAGAGGGGGGCCTTGGCAGTTAATGGCTTTGGCCCCGAGGGCAGGGCACCAGGCGAAGGAAGTGTTAGGGAGAGTAAATGGGCAGTTAGTAAAAAGGCAGGAGTAGGGAAGCGTAAGGGAGGGAGCGGAGGGAGCGAGGGGAGCCTGTTCCATGTCAGCAAACAGGAGACATCCTACGCGCGGGTGTCAATGGCAGACGGCATGGGGAAATTACCCTCACAAAGGGCCCGGGGCAGGCGCACTTTGAAAGGTGTTTGATCTCCACTTCTGAGACCTTCGGCCGTGTATTCATCGCAGATTATACTAACAAGGACGCGGGGACCGACGCTTTGTTAGCCCGCAGAACCGGGAGGAGGGGAACAGCCCCAGTCGATGCGATGAAAACCTCGTGTCAGGCGCCAATCGTGAAATCAAACTCCAGCGTGCAAAACTCACTGAAAGGAAAGGGAAGGCTCTGCTGTAACACTACCAGCCCAGAAGAATTCACCTGACAAAAAGGGGAGACGTATTTGAGTCAGCAAGTAAATCGTCATAAATTTTCATCGTAACTCTGACTGCAAAGGGTAAGTGGGTGTTGCGGATGGGCTGGCGAACACAGATTAATCTGAAGAACGTCGCAAACTCAGCCTCGGGATCCTACAAGGGCTCCAGCGTGATCTTTCACATCATGCACCGAGTGGAGATTCGTGCTGGTGGACTGCTATTCCCAGGGTCTAAGCACCGGGACACGCTCGTATCTTTGCAAGAGGATGATTTTCACTTGGAAATGCATTCTTAGTGTAGACTCTCTTGAACCTGTATCCAGAAGGATTTCCGTGGGGCTGGATTAAGAACGGAACGGTGATGAGCGATCGTCACATTTTAGCGCTACGGCTGACTAAGTTCAGAATTTTCACTTTGATTTGGTACACAATCCCTTCAGTTGTACTCAGACAAACACAGTCCTACAGATTGTCACACGCTTTTTCCCCTGAGATCCAAGCGAGTTCTTCTGAGCTGAGACACTCTGCCACGAACAAAGAACTCTCTATGAGCATCGGGCAGCAGAAGTGGTCATTCACAAAGACGGCAGTGGCTCCAGTACAGACACAGAAACAGCTTTTGAACAGAAAGAACAGTCCTCTCTATTACGAGGGGCCTGTATTGTAACAGCACTCAGATAGCCGAGCAGGGGACAGATGTAGAAATGAGCTGGACTTGCCACTTGCAATTATTTATTCAGGATGGCGACATTCTTTAGTGCCAACTTCACTTATTTGCACCCATGTTTTGCCTGTACTTAGGATAACCAAGCAGCTGCCCCGGTAATTTCAATCGGCTAATAATACACACATCTGGCAAGGAGACTTTCAAAGGCAGAAACAAGAAGCAGCTATCTTTCTAAAAAACGTTATTCCAGCTTTTCCCCAGAGGGTACGGGGGGCGGCTGCCAGCACAGACTCAACAGACGGAAAAAGAGCTCTCAGCCTCTCGCTGGCGGCTCTGCCGTCGCCTTCTCTCACGACCACCGTGGCCAACACATGCACATCCCCGCCGTCGCTGCGGCCTGTGCCTGTGCACCACCTGCACAGCGGACGGCCCCTCTGCCCTCGCGGCTAGTCCACGTCTCTATTTTAGGCGTTTTTAGAGATAAAACACCGCTGTTGAGTGAGACACTCCCCAGCCTCGAGAACCACAGACTCACTCTGCTCAGGTCTGTTCACAACACTGCTGTGACGAGGACTTTTCCATGCCAGCAGTTGGACCGCGTTGCCGCTCTCCGTAACACCACAGAGCCCGCTGCACTCGCCATCAAAGCCCTTCCCGGTCTGCGCGTCCGCAACTCATCGCTCCAGAGGGTGAAGCCCACTCCGCTCCTCCCACGGGCATCCCTCCCACGACTGCGGGATCTCAGAGGTCCCTTTGGAGCAGTTTCTTCCGACCACCGGCGCCCTCGGACAAGCAGCCGCTGAACGCGTGCGGTTGGACTCTGGCAGCAGGCGTGCAGCGAGCCAGACGCGCTGAGAAAGCGCCAGATTCAGTGTTCATGCGGCGTCTACACACGCCGCAAACACGGAGTAGGTCTCCCACATCGGACAAATGCGCTGGACCGCACACGGGCCAATATTTTTGTCGGAGGACTTCCCAGGCACCACACGCACATACTCCCACAGCCTACAGAGCAGCTGTCTGCTTTCTCAGCTCCCTTCTCTGCAAGCATCCCTGAGGAACCTTGGCTAAATCCATTTGCAGTAGGTTTCCTTTCAGTGGCTCCTTTTTTGGGGGTTAATTTATGGCCAAGAGATAGGGTTCTGGTATCTGGCAGGCTCCCAGAGAGAAATCCTGACCCAGAGTTAACTGTGGAATTCAGCGGTATTGAATCTCAACCTTTCACTCTTATTTTTCTATTTGCGAAAGATAACAAGCATATGGTATAGATGAGTATCAAGGTTCAATGTTCCTACAATTATTCTTCCTCATCTCCTCTGAGGATGTTTAGCCTTCGCGGATGCTACTTTCCATTATCTTTTTAGTTGCTTTCTCAAGGAATGAGCCTTATGTGAGCCCGTCGCACAATTATCTGCCTGCCTGCTTCCCTAGAATTAACTCCTGAACTCCTGAGACGCCCCCACCACGGAGATGATGACATTCCTAAGATTTTTCCAAAAATCAGCATCTGGCTAGACAGACGCTAGAGAGTCTCTCCACTGCAGGGACAGGCTGACAGCGTTCAGCTGCTCCGTGCTGCATTTGGCATTTGGCAGAAGGCTGCTGGCAAGCACGCACTTGAGAGCAGGCACAACATCGCTGCTTCTTGCTCGCTCAGAGCTGCCCTAGGTGACCCTGCAGGGAGGAGAGGAGTTGAAATTGTTGACGTAGGAGGAGCGCTAGGGACAGAGGGCAGGAATCTGGAGGAGAGCAGAACTCTGCTGACTAGCTCTGCGGCCTGCAGAACAATTCGCATGGCAGGCAGATGCAGCTAATTTAACAGCGCCGCGCACATCCAGATACACCTTCAGCAGACTCCGGTTCTGGGTAACGGCACAACACAGACGCAAATGTCATCCTGGTAAAGATCAGCAGGAGGGTAAATATAAAAAACTGTTGCCATGGTAGCACATCTCTATTCTGCTCGCTAAATGCATCTTCTTCTTTTCCTCCACTAGCGCTGATGAGCTTTTTCCTCACAAAGACGGTCAAGCATGGCAACAGGTTGCCCAGAGAGGTTGGGCAGTGTCCGCCCTTGGCGGTTTTCAGGCTAAAGTGACCCGGTCTGACCCCATAGCTGGCCCTCCTTTGAGCAGGAGGTTGGACTAGAGACCTCCTGAAGTCTCTTCCAACCCAAACTGTGTTATAAACCTACGAATTTTCACCTCTTTAGTCTCATAGAATCATTTAGGCTGGAAAAGATCCTTAAGATCATCGAGTCCAACCGTAAGCGTATCGATGGATCTGTAATCTAGAGCCGTGAGTACGTAAGAGATGACAGCAAAGCAGGATCCATGAGAAGAAGGGGTCTGCCATCTAGCCGGCAGGACCAGTAACCAGTAATTAGCGCAAACTAATTTCTACCAGTTCTCACAAGAGCTGCATTGCCAAGGTACCAACAGTACCGGAGCCTCAACCATTTAACGTGGGTAGCGGCACCTATCCAGTGCCTTGTCTACAGAGCAGATCCATTCCCAGGAGAGCGGAGGCTCTTCGGTTCCACTCCACACAGGTACAAAAGGGACACGACAGACGAGTAGAGTGCAAATTGCAAAAGGGAAATGTTCAAAATACTGAACAGGGAGAGCAGGGGATGCCTCTCCACTGAACTGCGGGAAGAAAGGGAAGACTCAGTGACTAAGATGAGAACGGCCACCAGAAGTCCATGAGAAAAACCACTGGAGATGAATGGGAAGACAGAAACGGAAAAATACAGAGATCGAAGCAAACAGTAAATCGCATCTAATCCTGACAATGAAAGAGTGGGGTCCTTGTCTGAGCCTGATGGTTCTGTGGGTCAGGCCTACTCAGAAAAAGTGCTCCCGGCCCAAGAGCCTGTTGGAGCTACGAAACTCACCTCCATCCAGCAGCAATTTGACCGTCAGGTAGTCATCAGCCAGTACTGCGTAGTGTAGAGCTGTGCAGCCCTTGAAATTGGCTCTGATGTTCAAGCGGTTGTTGAAGTCGTCCTCCCGGGTTACAAGGACTGCGGGGGAAGAAGCATGAAAGTTCAGCTCACTGAGACAAAGAACTGCTTGTCTGAACATGCACCAGCAGAACGGACGGCCACCACCGGCCTGGAAGCTTGTTAAGGGCCTAATGGCCTCTTCCAGGAGACAATCAGGACCCCGGTGGGGGTTTCTGGTGGCTATTGTCCCCACTCCACTGAGCAGCAGCGGAGATGAAGACAACGTGGTTTCCACAAACGCCAGTGACTGCCTTCACAGCGGCCAGGCAGGGGAGGGGGTGGCTGGAGCAAGCCCGAGAGAAGACCTCCCAGCCTTGTTCCAACCACAGCCTCTTTGCACCTTCAGAGTGAAATCAGGATTCAACACAAGCAAGCAACACAGAGACTTAGAATCAGAGAATCACAGAATCACAGAATCATTAAGGTTGGAAGAGACCTCCAAGATCATCGAGTCCAACCGTCAACCCAACACCCCCAGGCCCACTAAACCATGTCCCTCAGCGCCTCATCTACACGTCTTTTAAATACCTCCAGGGATGGGGACTCCACCACTTCTGCCTTTCTTCCCCTTTTACTGTCCAGAAGGGTCAGAGAACAACCATTCAGTGCTTCCTCCACACCACCTTCCTCCCCCAGCCAAAACACGATGCCAGCGGTCTGCACCTACTTAAGGCTGGAAGCACAAAGCAGCGAAACCTACAAGCCGTAACCAAGAGAAAAGAGCCGGCGCGGCTGAGGGACGACGGCACGACAGGTCCTCGGGACAGCAGTCAGCTGGGAATGCCCGGTGGATCTCCTCAGAGTCATGCTAAGCGTCCCTCACCACACCGCTCCGATCGCTCACGTGCCCGTCTCCACCAGGAGCTGCCTCCTCTATTCCACACTTCCCAGGAACAGCAAGAAGTAGCCGTTTAAAAGCAGGAACTCTTCTAAAAAGACTTCCTTTGTTAACTGAAAATACGGGTTGAAGTGCTGCAGAGCATGATACTCAACTGCGTTCTGCTCCTCTCCATATCTACCTCCTTGCCACCTTTGGTCTGGTGTTGAAACCGGCTGTTCTTTGGCATCTGGAGTTTTCGCTCCGTGTTTGCTTAGCCACCAGCACAGTGCGCTCCGTGAGGTGTATTCCTCGACGCTACCGGGATGGGAATAATTTGTAACATCACATTTTACAACTCACTAGAAAGCCTGGAATCCCCTGAGCAAACGCAATTACACCGAGCCCTGGCAGGTTTTGCGAAATCGGACCTAGAAATTGTGATGTTTCTTTGAACAGAAACTGATGCTTTCTAAAGCTGATTAATTGCAATTTTTTTCTTGCCTTGAGCTCTGTTCTCCTGAATGCCAACATGCACGGATACCCTGCAAAAGGGAAAGCCCAACGACCTGTGCTTGCAGGCCAGAGCAAAGCCGGGCCAAGGCGCTCCCGGGAGGACAGGAGGAGGACCGTGTGGTGAGACAGACACACTAAAACGCTCAACCTTCCAGATCAGGTGCAAAATCAGAGTTTGGACTGCAAAGCTGGAAGACCGAGGAACGCGTTAAACCAAACCGATGGACGGAGGCATCGGTCTTGTCTACAGAGCAGATCCATTCCCAGGAGAGCGGAGGCTCTTCGGTTCCACTCCACACAGGTACAAAAGGGACACGACAGACGAGTAGAGTGCAAATTGCAAAAGGGAAATGTTCAAAATACTGAACAGGGAGAGCAGGGGATGCCTCTCCACTGAACTGCGGGAAGAAAGGGAAGACTCAGTGCTTAAGATGAGAACAGCCACCAGAAGTCCATGAGAAAAACCACTGGAGATGAATGGGAAGACAGAAACGGAAAAATACAGAGATCGAAGCAAACAGTAAATCGCATCTAATCCTGACAATGAAAGAGCTGGCTCCCCCCTCTCCGTGGGGGACCCAGCACCGCTCCGGCTCCAAGCCCGGCTCTCGCCAGACCTGT